CTGTGAGGCTGTAACTACAGCAGTCGGGGCCCAATTGTGTGTATGTCTTCTCTAAGGAAGAGGGGGAGAAATGGCAAAGTTAATGGAAATGGTTGCAAGCTTTCTGTTAACTGAAATATCTTTTGAATGGAAATATTCTCTGCACATACAGCAATAATAAACGTGTTTGTCACAGCTCACAATCCAGAAAATGAGTATGTATATACAAACAGAGTGCAAGCTCAGCCTTCTTTGTTCAGAGTGATAGAAATTAAGAGCATCGAGTTAAAAGTGAAAACAAAGTGAATTATTAGACATTCTAGAGGTGAATGGTAATGTGCTGCTGTTTAAAGGCAGGAGTAGATCTTAAAACCTGTTAAAGGAGCTGGTAAAGGCGTTGGAGCGAATGAGGGCTGTGTGTCCTTTAGTACTTTGATAACTGGAGACAACTTTTAAATGTGCGAGAAGTGAAGTGGCACAAAATGGGGTTTGAACTGGCTTCTCTCTCATTCTCCCGCTGACCTCTGGCATCTCACAAGAATTTTTCTTAAATGTGCTGATTTCCCTATGCCCAAAGGTAATGCTTGGTGCTTTTTCTGAATTTAGGGTGATGTTACCAGCTAGCAGGCAGCTTTAGGGGCATGTGTGGTTAGGTCTGCAGCAATCCCACCAAACCTCTTTCAGTGAACACACTCGCATGTATTAAAAGGCATCTGTGCCACACCTGAAGGCTGCAAGTCCCTATCTGAAAGCCTTTGCAGTTGCAAATCTGTTGCCTGTTGATCCAGGCCCCCAGAGGCACCCTACACTTTGCTGCTCAGGTGGAGTGGGGTTGGAGGAGGTTTCAGCTCCCATGTGGGGAAACCGAGACCTCTGCCAGCTCAATCTGGGTCCTGGCCAGTGTCCAAATGGGTCATCGCATCACCTGCGGGGTCCAGGAATGCTTCATGTCCCCAAAATACCCGCGCTCTTCTTCTTGGGTTAAAAATACCTAGAGCAGAACTCCTGCGGAGAGTGAATGAAGAGATCAGAGCGATTAGGGGCTGGGGAGCTGGAGCAGCAGCTGCGGTGAGGTGTGCGGTGCAGGGGTTGTGATTGGCCTGGCCTGGCCCATTTTGGTGCTGGAGACTCAATCTGAAGGATTTCATTCAGCGTCCTCTGCTTCTGTTCATTTGTCTGCTACCAGAGCTCGTTACCATGGGGATTCTCACAGCCCCAGGAAGAGGAGGATTCGGTAAGGATTGAGCAGCTTCACTTGATCCCTTTAAAAAGGTATCTCAAGCAAGGACAGTACCGAGTGTTTTGAGGAGAGTCCTTCCCTGCGCAGCATCAGGACTGAAGCCTTTACCCTGTGGCAAGGTGAAACCGAGAGCACGTCTGGAAATGGTTTTGATCTGCGACTGCATCCATCCTAAGCAGAGCTCTGTTATTTCACAACAAGGCAATAAAACACCCAACAGGATGATTTTTACACTGTGCTGTGTGCATATGCAGATTTACAGAGGTGTCCTTTTTGTTAGGCAACGATTATGCTTTGCACATGCTGTCTGGCAGAGGATTTCGGGTTGCTGTGGTGCTGAGGGCGGTTCGGTGGAACCTCATCGGCTGCAGCTTCAAACTGAAAGGAGAAGCCTTCATCTGAAAACACGATGCAGCGTGCAAGATGTGACGGAATTGTGCTTTCCATCCCAAATACCCTGTTCAGAGACAAAATCTCCCTTGGAAGCTGGCCGTTTGTCTCAGCCCATGGGCTGCTTTCCCGCACCTCGACTTTGTTTATTTACGAAGGATGCGTGACCAAGAGCCAGAGCCGTGGGCAAGTGTCCTGAGTGATCTGCAGACCATGTCAAAGCATTCCTGATTTCGGCATGAAAAACTTATTCCTTGGATGAAGCTGTTCTTATTCTAACCTGTAACTATTCATTTAACTTGTAGGTTAAGGGGAAATCATGCATTTAGGTAATTATTTTGTCTCCACGTGCTTCGTTTGCATTGAACTCCACAATGGAGCTCAGTCTATCTAAGAATTTTATGGGGTCCTAATCTTGAGAGCTGTGTATTTATATCTACATATATATGTGTGGGTGTAAATAAAACTTGGATAAACAGGAGGTCAAAGTTATTTTCTGCGCTAAAAAGAAATTTTAAGACCATTTTTTGTTTAAGAGAAATGGGGAAAACAACGTCTTTTCCTTTCAGGAGCAGGGCGCCATTCCACAAGCCTGACAAATGGCTGCAGGTGACGGGGTGAGCCCAGAACAACGAGTTTTAAAGCCGTGGGATTTCATTAGCCACGACGCCTCCTCTCAGCGCTGCTGCTCCTTGGTTTCCTTGCTGTGGCACCGCAGGGGAGGCTCAGCTGGTGGCTCCACCGCGTGTGCTGCTGGTGCTGCTGGTGCTGCTGGTGGTGTTCTCCATGCCTTGCAGGTGCGGTGTTGCTCCTCACGACGAGCATCCGTGCCGAATGATAGTCCGTTTGCAGGGGTGGCTCTAAAATGCAAATAATTCCTCCCAGTTCCTCCCCCCCTTCCTAAAAGCAGTGATTGTGCTTTGTCAGCACCTCTCGCGCTTCCTTGACTTGCTGCGACAGGCCATATTGATTGAAGAGCTGTTCCTACTGAAGCGTGGTCGCAAGGCTTTGCTCTCCCGCTGCCGTGAAGCTGCTGCTCCTTTCTCCATGGCCAGGTCCTCACCAAGAGCTCCCTGAGCTTCCACCTCTCCCCTCTCAGCCCTTTGCAGGTCCCACCTGCAGGGCAAGTAGCGGTGGGACCTCGGTCACCTCATTTCCAGTCTGTTTTTCCTTCTCACCAGTTACTTTTGGGTTTGTGTCTGTCTTTTTCCAAGAACTTCATAATATTCATGGGCATTCTTTCCATCAGAGCCATCACCATGTCTTTCAAGCAGGTTCATGTAAGTAAAAAATGATGGAAGAGCCTTCAGACTGTGTTGGGTGGAGGAGAGCGTTCTTCCCTCGCTTTTGGCACTGCTGGATCTGCCTGCGCAGACATCGATGAGCCTGGCAAGGTTGCCCCAGTTGCTGGGCAGGTTATCCAGCTTCAACGTTTTGTTCTCGGGCACGTAGGAGCTTAGGAGAGGGTATCAAGGAAACAAGCACGGGCGCTTGTAGCAGCACGGGGGCACCGGCGAGAGCAGAGGAACAGAACAGCCTGGAGTGCAGGGAGAGGAGGACAGTGAGCGTGTTCTTACACAGGAGAAGAAATTAAAAAGGAAAAAAGAGAAATGCTGGCTCTGGTCGTGCGTGTTCTGACCCGTGTGAGCTCCACGGCAGCAGCCTGAGGTCTGTGCTGCTCCCAGAAGGAAAGTTGGGGATCCCCCAGCACGGCTGGTGGAAGCTCGCCTGGGCTGGGGGAGGAGATTCCCGGTCAGGTCTCTGCTCTTCTCCATCCCCAGCCAGCACTGCTGGGGCTCTAAGGACGTTTAATGAGTAGAAAGGTTTAGTAAGTGTCTGCTGTACGTCCCCAAGCACTGAGGGGTAAGGAGGCCGGGTTTTCGAAAATGAGCAGCTTACTTCTGGCTACATTAAAGCCATCAGGAAGAAGTTGAACTTCTTGTAAACCATTCTGGTGGCTGTCCAAGCATCTCGGCCCTCGTGTGTAAAAAAAAAAGGAGCATCTTCACACACTTCCCTCCAGTGCGTGCTGGTGGTCGAAGACAGTGCCTGGTGAAAGCAGCTCAGGGCAGGGGACTGCAGGGGACCCCGAGGGGCTGTGTGTGCCAGTGGCCGAGGTGCCCCCATCCTCGCTGCTCCTTCGTGTGAGGAGCCCGGCTCCTCAAACACCTCCTGCGGGTGGGTTCATTAAAAAAAAAAAAAGAAAAAAAAAAGAAAAAAAAAACTGCAATGCAATCTGTGCTCTAATTTGAGGACACCATTTAGTGATTTTAATTGTGTGACAGTATTTTGGTATTTTCAATACCCGGTAGTAGGTTAATGACTGTTCCTTGAAGAATGGAGTTTATATAACACAAGTCATTACATAAGGAGGCTGATTGTGGCCTGAGGAGCAGAAAGGGAAACAAATGGGCAAGAATGCGCAGCCCGGCAGGAGCAAACTCTAGGTTTTGGGCCCTGGGAAGCCCACAGGAGCGGTACTGGGGCCCCAGCAAGGTGAAGCCAACCTTGGGGAAGGCCGAGGAGGTGAGGGCAGCGCGCGCCACGACGTGACAGCCGCCGAGCGGTGTTAGCGGTGGCCGTCAGCTCTTCCGTTCGTCCAGCCCGCACAGTCCCCCTACAAAACCAACCAAGCAACCCCAAAGTTTTGCTTTGGCCACCCCGTTTTTTTGCCTGGAAGAACCTACCCGCGGCCTGCCTCGCGCTGCCCAAAGCGAGATAACACCATGGGAGACCGCGGAGCGCGACCTCCTGCCCGCACCTCGGATGCCAGGTTTGATGGAGGGGACGAGTCCCTCACGCTCCTTCTCCTCCTGCCAGGGCAGCGAGCTGGGCTTTCGCCCCCGCAACCCCTTGGGGACGAGCACGGGGGGTTCCCCGCGGAGCCCCCAGCCCCGGGAGCCCCCGAGGAAGACCCAGGGGGGCTCGGAGCGGGGCTGCTCCTCCGGGGGGAACCGGAGGGGGGACACCCGGCGAGGGTAGGGCCGCAGCAGCCGCCGCTCGCCGCCGATGAGCGGTTCGGGGAGCAGAAGCCTCCCCGCCGAGGTAAAGGCCGGGGCTGGGCGCGTCCCCCCCCCCTGCAGCATCCCCTCCCTGGGGGCTTCCAGCCGGGGGCTTGGGGAGGGAAGGGAAAGGGGAAGACGCGTTGCTTAGCGCTGCTGTGTTGCCTTTTTTTTTTTTTTTTCCCCTTTATTTTTATTTTTTCCTTCCCCCTATTTATTATTATCGTTATTTATTTATTTAATATTTTTATTTTAATTTTTTTTTTTTTTTGCGCCGATCGGGAGGGGTTGCTTTTGGGGAGGGTCGGGGAAAGAGGGATGCAATGAGGCTCCCCCGGACTGGGTGATTTTTGCAGCTTGCCTCCTCCTCCTCCTCCCCCCCTTCAGCCCCCCCCTTCAGCCTCCCCCCGGCTCCGGCTGGCTGGCTCTCCAGTTGCTGCATGAAGGGCTGTGCTTGTGCCCGCTCCCGGAGCCGTGGCGCACCTCCCTCGGCTGCGCGGGGGAAGCGGATTTGGGCTTCTTCTTACCCTCAGCCTCCTTATTATCCTTGATTTTTGCCCGTCCCGTTCGTCCTAGGAGAAAAAAAATACGATAATAATAATAAATATAATATATATAATAATAAAAAAAAAAGGAAAAGCGATCGGGCAGGGCGAGGGAGCCCCGGGGGAGTGGGGGGTGTGCGGGGGGCTCCCCGCAGCCCCGCCGCCCCCCGCCGCAGCGCAGCGAGCGCGATGCGCCCGGGGCTGCGCGCTGCGGAATAGCGCGGCCGCCGCTCGCCCTCCTCGGGCTGGGGGCGGACGGACCCGACCGCCGGCAATTCCCCCTTGATGTCCATGAATGCAAACACCATGATTTTCATGATCCTGGGCGCCTCTATCGTTATGGTAAGAGATTTCGCTTCTTTCCCTCCCCTCCATTCCGCGCCCCCCCCCCCCCCCCAACCAACCAACCAACCCCCCCCCAGCCTGTCCCTCAGCCTGTGCACCTCCGCGCGTGTGTGCCCGTGTGCGTGCCCCGTTACACACCCCGGCTCTTTTCTTTATGCCCGCTTCAGTCTCTGGCAATCAAACTGGAGTCAATGTTTTATTCCATCATCCAGAGTTGACCAGATGCCTTGGTTATGGGCTCTTACAGGCAATAGCTTGCTTGATGGACATGAATGCGTTGCTGGACAGATTTCACAATTACATCCTACCGCATCTCAGAGGGGAAGACCGAGTTTGTCACTGCAACTGTGGCAGGTAAGTGGCCCGCGGCCGCTCTCCCACCTGGCCAAATCCCCTTCCCACCCCGACAACCCCAGGCAGGAGTGGGGAGGTGGTGGCCAGTGGCAGGGCTGGGTTCCCATGTTTGCATTCCAGCCGTGTCTCACCTTCCCCGGCAGCTCCTGCATGCTCACGGGGAGGGGGGGGGGGTTGTTTGTTTTTTTTTTCTGGATAGAAGAGTTTCCTGCGGGCCTGGAAGCCCGTTTTCCTTTGTGTGCCTGCGTGTGTACAGGCGTCTGCCAGCCCTTGGAAAGTGAGTAACTTTGATTTAACGCCTGGCGGATTGCCTTGGGTGCCGCTGGGCCGCGTCGCTTCTCGGGGGGGTTTGTGGAGCCTGGGAGGATCAGGGGTGCGGAGAGCCCCCAGGCTCCGTGTCCGGGAGGGAGTGCTGCTGATGCCTAGGTGTCACTTTGAGGCTCCGTGATCTGCCTTCGGCTTTGACTCCTCCATGGCTTCTCCCCCGAGAGCCGTGGTGGTGCTGGACGCAGCGCGGTTTGGTGGCCGGGTTAATTCTGGGAGTATTGGGGGTGGCTTCTTGGCTGTGCCCAATTTTGGGGCTGGATGGATGCCTGCTGTGGCTGTTGGGCAATGCTGGAGTCCCCTGAAGTGGCACTGCTCTGTGCCGTGGGCGATGCTGAGGTGCTCAGTGGGCTTTGGCTGCTCCGTGTCAGAGCCTGAGCGCTGGATTTTGGGGTGGCAAATTGGGGTCTTCTCCATAATCCCCGTCCTACACACCTGGAGGCCTCATCCCTGGGCCTGACGGCCTGCTGCTGGCTGCAAAACCACCCGTCTGCGGGGCCTGCCTCTGGGCCAGCCCATGGGATGTGTAAAGCTTAACAGAGGGCTGCAGGTCACTCGCCAAAGGTGGCCATTGCCCGTGGTTCCTCTGCAGATTCCTGTGGCAGAAGAGCAAGGAAGGGGTGAGCAGCACCTCCAGGGCCACGTGTGGCCGGACCAGAGCCCCCAAATCCTGGCTCCTTGGGCACCTCAGTGCTAAAGCCAGCGGGGAAGGCTGTAGACAAAGTCCTCTTCTTTTTGGTAGGGATTGCCTTTTCTGTGGGTCGTTTTTTGGAGCCTTCTGGATGTTTTTCACTTGTTTAAGAGTTTTTTCCTCTGCCTCTTCAGCCCGTTTTTCTTTTGGCTTGCCACAGCTGTGTTCAGTGGTGGTGCAAATTGGCTGTGGGTAACATGCTTCAACATCACCGGGAGCAGCTGGGCCGTGCCAGGTCTCACGGGTGTTGTGGCCGAGTGTCCCCTGTGCCCATGGCCAAGGAGGTGGCAGGGCCACCACTCTCCTCCAGCTGTGTGGCTGCAGAGCTGCTGCTGAGGCAGATAAATTAGCCGTGGCACCGTCCCCGGGCATACTCAGGTTATTTCTTAGAAAGTTGGGCAGGCGATGGTGCAGCCGTCACCATGCTCTTGAGCTCGGTGTCTCCTCTGGTTTGCAGGCGGCTGACGCCCAACGCGTCTCGGCCTCTTTGCCCCCGTGCTCCCAGCACGGCCCCCCAGCCATCGGCAGCTCTGGGCCAGGCGGGGACACATCCCAGAGCACAGCAGCACCAGGGCCTGGCAAAGGGCTTTTACCATGCTGATAAGCAAAGGGAGGCCTTGGAGGAGGGAACTGGCACTGCTCAGCGTGCTGTAGGCTCCCTGTCCCACCTCACCCCTGTTAGACCCCAAGGGAAAAGCCCAGGTTTCAGCCCTGGGACTCCTGTCAGTTCCCTGGGCTGCCCAAAGCTCGGCACAGCGGGCAGGGAGGAGCGTTTTGGTGGCTGTGGGCTCAGCGGTATCACCTGGCACACTGGGGCCTCCTCAGAGGGCCCTCTGGGCTGTGTGAGGGCTGGAGTCCCTGCTGGTGGGCAGGGATCTGCCTTCCCCGGAGCTCTGCCTGGCTGCAATGGTTCTGAGTGAAAGGAGTGCCCCAAAATCCCCCAAATCCCTCTGCCAGCCCTGCCCCATGGGGCACTCCTCTCCTGAAACTGGAGGCTGAGCCTTGGCTGTGCTGGCACTGGGGAGAGCTGCTGGGGTAGAGGTTTTTGAGGGAGAAAACCCAGCCCGTCTGAGGGGCTGATCGTGGCAGGGCTGGCCTGTGCCACACCTTCCCGTGGGGTCAGCTCAGCGGGGCCAACTTCAGGCTGAAAGCTGTTTCTCAGCACCTTCTGGCAGCAGCAAGGTGGAACCGTGTTGAGGCGAGGGTGACCCGGCCGTGCTGGGTCCTGGTGGGTGATTTGTAGGGTTAGAGGGGGGCTGTGGCCTCTCGCTGGCTGCAGGAGGTCGGAGGGAGCTCGGGAAGGCCGTGAGGCCCCAAGCATTCGGTGTCTGGCCATGGCTATGGGGTTTGGACACTGCCAGGAGGAACACGAGCACGGGGCCTGCTCTCCTGCTCGCTGCCAGGGACAAGTGGCCGAGGTTGGTGCAGCTGCCGGGCTGTGGGCTGTGGGGTGGTGATGTCCAAAGGGCACCGAAGCAAAGGGCAGGGCCCTGCCGGCTGCTTGCCAAGGGGAGCTGGCGTGGGGATGATGCACGGAGTGAGAACAGCAGTGTCAGGGCACCTGGTGCTGATGCTGAGCCAGTGCTGAGCACCCGCTGGAGGAAGAAAGGGTGAGAGCCGCATCTGAGAGCTGCAGGGAAGTCTCCCCTGTCCCCGCAGATCCTCAGGGTGGCCACATCCCCGTGCTGGGGGTCCCTCCTCCTCGGGCTGCACCGGCTCCAGGGCGGCAGAAGCGTGGCGCTGCCCCGCTCCCAACGTCTCTGTCCCAGCCAGGAAAGAAAGGGTCCTCTCTGGAAGCAGGAGGCTGGCAGCGGATCAGGAGCTGGGTGATGTCATGCAAAGGAAAATCACCAAAGGGCGTCCGTGGCGGCCGGGTGAGTTGGGGAGAGCAGATGATGACACCTGCGTGGAGCTCGGACCCGTCGCAGCAGCCTGGGGGCTTGGGAGTTCCCTGCCTGGGACAGGGCAGGGAGCTCGGGAGCTCGGCCTTGCAGCCTTCTCCTTGCCACCGACCTTCTGGGTGACCTTGGGCGAGTCTGTCCTTCCCGGGCAGAGTCTCCCAAGCAAAACCTGAGCACCAAAACGCGACGTTTTTGCTCGGTATTCTTCCTTTCCCAGCCACTCGGAACAAGTCCTTAAACCTCTGTGTCCCCAGATCCTCTGTGGCCATGCTGGGAGGCTGGGAATGCTCCTTGCCTTGCGCTGGAGACCTCCAGGCCTCCCCTGGGCTCCCGGGAGCTGCTGCAGCGTGAAGGGTCCCAGGAAGATGCTTTCACCATTGCGGTGGTGCCATCCACGCTGCTGCAGCCTGGCTTTGCCGGCCGTGCTCTGCGAGGAGCTGGGCTGCTTGGCACATTTGGGGAGAGGCTGCAAGGTCAGGCAGGGAAGCAGAACGGAGGCTCCGTGCCTCCTGTAGCCCCTGTCACAGCGTGCCTTGGTGGCTGTGCCTCGGGGATGGCCAGAGAGGCAGGCTGAGCCTCGTTCCCCCCCAAATCCCGAGCAGCAGTGCTTTTTGAAGGGCTCCAGTGCTGTGGCTGGGCTGCAGCAGGCAGCACACTCGCAAGGTCACTGGAAGGGACATTAGCGCTTTGGGCAGCTCCGTAGGGAGACGTCCCAGGCAGGCTGGCCACGGCTCTGCTCCAGCACGGCCGCACTCAGGGCTTCGTGCACGGCTTGCCTGGGGCTGGAGGAGCTCTCCCCCATCCCGAGGGCCGGGAAGGGGCAGGGAGGCTGCAGCCGGAGCAGAAGTGCACAGCCACAGCCACTGCTCCCTGGGTCCAGCAGCTCCAGCTTCTCCCCGGGTGCTGCCTACCTGGGGACGGAGCAGCAAACCCAGTCCCTTTGCTTCAGGAGAGCTGATGCTGGTGACCACCAGCCCCTCCTGCTTCAGAGGGCGATCCCACACAGCTCCTTTCCATCCAGGCCATGTTCCAGTTTCCATTTCCCTCGGTGTGCAGAGGGGACCCTGGACCTCCGTGCTCTATTAATAACTGGCTGTGCCGATGCGCTGGTGCCTCCGGATCACTCCTGCAACGTCCCCAGGGACTGAGCTGCAACAGAGAACTTCTGTGGGGCTGTCCCCTCTTCTCCACCCCTCTGAAGTCACTTGTGAAGGTGTTCATGGATCTGGTCCCCAGGCTGTTTCTGTGTGAAAGGCAGCAAGCTGAGGACCTGCCAGGTGTCTCTGGTGGTGCGGGAGGCTCATCAGCCCCTCCTGCACAGCTGCTGGGCCATGTCCCTGAAGTCAATGGAAGCCCTCCTGTCCATGAACGAGCTCCCTTCTGGGAGCTGTTCCTCACACAGCCTCTGCTCCCTGCCTGGTGAGGGAACATCTAGCCTGAGCCTCATGGACTTGTGGCTTTCCCCCTGCCTCCTGGCACCAGGAATGGCCCCAGCCCCACAGGCCCTGCTCCGCAGGGAGCTCGTGCCTCTGGCGCAGCTGCTGCGGAGCCGAGGGCTGTTTTCGGTAGGTTCCTCCGAGCAGAGGTTTGTTTGTGTAAATATTTGGACGTTTCTCAGGCGTGATTATCCAGCAACCTGCACCTCATGCATATTCAGAGGCCTCTGGGGATCGCCTCCTCTCCCGCGTGCGGTGCCTGCGGGTGCTGCGCTGGGGGTGGCAGGGGGCAGCGCTGGGGTGGGGGGGCTGAGCTGCTGAGCACCCGTCCCTGCAGCAGTGCTGGTGGCACACCCTGTGCAGCACCAGGATGGCCGTGGGGACACAATATGTGCTGAAGGACCTGAATAACTGAGGGAGACCTGCGTCCCCCAGTCACGCAGCGAGGGCCCATGAGGCCATCTTGGACCTCACAGGTCTCTCTGTCGGGATGAATTTAAGGCTGGCTTTCTGGTGCCTCATCCATGGCTGTAAGTGTTCTCTGCTCTGGTAGGTGGGAGATGTGCTTGTTCTCTGGGCCTGCTGGGACCCCTGCGAGGCCATGTGTGGACCCCACGTGCTGGCAGGAGCGAGGCCTCGCTGACCTCTGCCTCTGCACGGCCTGCCGTGCTGCCCTCCGTGCCCGTGGGGAGCAGCCTCTGCAGCCTCGGGCTGTCCTCAGCACGGGCTGTGGGGTTACAGATGATGAGCTTGGGCACAGGCAGCCCGTGTCAGGAATGCAACATGAGCTCCAGGCTCGGGGTTCTGGGCTTTGCTGCTTCGTTTTCTGCCAGTTCTTCTGCTAACATGAGCACAGAGTGGCAGACAGCACCACTGGTGCCAGGGATGTTGGTGGGACAGCAAAAGAGCGTTGTTCAGCCAGCCCTTGGCCACAAAAAGCAGGTTTTGGGTGGAAAAAAGTGCTCTGCTCTTCTCCTCTGATGCTTTTCCCTGTTTCTGTTCCCTGCAACAGGCATCACGTCCATTACGTTATTCCTTATGATGGGGATCAGTCAGTGGTGGACTCCTCGGAGAATTACTTTGTGACTGACAATGTAACCAAGCAAGAGATTGATCTGATGCTGGGACTTTTGCTGGGCTTTTGTATAAGCTGGTTTCTGGTCTGGATGGATGGGGTTCTCCACTACGCGGTGCGAGCCTGGAGAACCAGCCGGCGGTATGGTAAGTGCAGCCCCGCGAGCCCTGTCAGGCTGAGATGTTGGGCACCAGCCTCACGGTGTCTGGTTCTGGTTGATCCTCGTGGGTTTGGCATGGCCACATCCCAGCCCAGCCCTCTTCTGTGGGCTTTAATGTTTAGGTGGGAGCGGGCATCTGAGGAGCTTGGAGGGCTCTGCACTGGAAAGTCTGAAGCAAAGGGTGGTGTGATGGGGAGCTGCAGGCTGGCAGCCTGTGGTTGTATGTCCGCATGTGTGGGCAGAGTATGTCCAGCTTGCACAAAATCGGGATTTTCCTGTGCACACAGTTTGCAGCCAGGTGTATGCATACACAACAGAGCCTTGTGTTGTTTGTAGGAACCTGACACAAAGTGATGGCAAAGGCAGATGTTTGTGTTGCATCAGGACTACGTCAGCAGAGGTTTCCCCATCCCCATCGCTGTTCCAGATGTGCCAGGCTTTTTCAGCCTCAGATAAGTTAGCTCAGCATCCTGACCCAGCACCCTGAGGATGACCAGAACGAGTGAGCCTCACTCCCTCAGCCTCACGTCCTGTGGGCTTTTGCTGCTGGAGGGGGAAAAAGGCAGAAATGCTATTAAAAATACTGAATATTAATAGCCAATAGTGAATATTATAGCCAATAGTGGCTTGGCATCCTGTTCCATAATCGGAATCGGTGTCCCTGTAAATCACACTAGCTCTGAGTGCAGGTGTCTGTTAAACTACTACGCCGAGGAGGAGAGCGAGCAGCGAGATTTATCTGTAAAGCTATAAGAAATTCTAATTAGGGAAGCGGACTGACTCTTTCTAAAAACTCTGATCAAAACGATATTAATTTCTCATTAGTCTTCCCTAATCCCTGGCAGCCTGCTCGAGCAGCTCCTGAAGCGGGGCTGTTCGTGCCGCCAGCATTTCCCCAGCTGAAGGCACAGCCCTGGTGTGCCCCGCTGCCAGCCCAGCGCTGGGGCTGGGAGCTGAGTCTCCATCCTTGGAGAGCCTCAAAAGCCACCTGGATGTGGTGCTGAGCAGCCTGCTCCAGCTGGACCTGCTTGAGCAGAGGGTTGGGCAGAACGGACCCAGAGGTCCCTGCCAACCTCAGCCATGCTGTGGTTCTGTGCGAGGTGAGGCAGGAGAACGTGGGTCTCAGCGTTCCTGTAATATCTCATCTTCCTTCTCCTTTCTGCCTTCCAGACAATTCCTGGTCTTGGATTCCAAAATTTTGTAACTTAAAGGAGTTCAGAAAACGTCACCACAGGCAGTACGAGGAGGCGACTGGGAACATGGTGCACATCAAACAGAAGCTGTACCATAACGGGCACCCCAGCCCGCGGCACCTCTGAGGAATGCCTTCTCCTCCAGAGACTGCAGTGAGGTTTTAAAGAGGACTTTGCTCTTCTTCCAGGGGAACAGCTCCCAGTTTGCTCCTCTATGGAAGCCAGACGAGGACATAATTTTACTTATCCATCCTGTGTGTCCCCGCGGCACGCCACGATGCACAACTAAGCCAGTCCTGGATGCTACGCAGCCAAGACATTGCACTGTGTTCCACATTTTATTGTCAGACTTGTGTATATATGTAAAAAGCAGACAAACAAAAAACAAACAAACAAACAAAAACGAGAAAAGAGATTTGCATTATACTTTCAACCCCCTTTTCCTGGCATTCACGGCTGTCCTGCACATCCAGCTACCCTACGGGGAATGTTGACCGAGGGTATGGAGGTGGGACAACACAAAGAAGATGCAGTTTCTCATCTAAGAGCTAGAAGTCCCCCGTTTCTTTGGTCCTTTGGTTTGGTTTTGCTCTGCTCTGTTCCTTCGTTTGCTAGAATGGCACCAGGTGTGGACTGGGGCCTCCTGCCAGCTAGCTGGGAAGGCAGGGTCCCTTTGCCTTGGTTCGTGCCTCTGGGCGTTGCTGTGGGGGAATGAAGCCCTGGGAATGTATAATGGAGCTGTTCTTCGCATTGCTGTGCGCTGAAACCTGCCTTAAGCAAGCCAAGAAATCTTCCTACCAGGGGAGCAGCGCCATGAGGGGTCAGCCCATTCAACTGGGCTGCTTCACACCACTTTTGTATTGGTGGCACCCTGCTGATGTTCCTCTCCGGGGTTAGAGAGGAGGCACTGATCAGGAGCTGCTCCTGAGGCAGAAATATCTGGAGCTGAGTGGCGTTAGACCTGGCCTGCACCCCGAACCCCTCTCAGCTGCATAAAGCCCGTAGCAGCGAGCTGGAATTGGCTGGAGGGAACACAGCGATGCGGGCCTGGAGCCAAACTCACCCACCATGTCAAAATGCCCCAGTAACAGCTTCAGTCGAAGTATGAGGATGTTCCAACACGTTTTATGCCTTTGCTTCCCCTGGTTGCAGCTTAGGTGCGGGTTTCAGTGTAGTTATCAAGCGTTTGAAACCACTCTCTGCATCCAGAGACCTCCCGAAGAGCTGCCCGAAGGAGGGCTGCTGGAGAAAGAAAGGCCTCAGACACCAATGAGGTGGTGTCTGCGTCCCACAGCAGCCGGAATCTGCTGGGGGAGAGGGAAAAATGCACCCAGGCAGTGTTGGTGTGGGTCCTGCTGCTTGTGGGGGCAGAGGGAGAGAGGAGAGGAGAAGGGAGGGAGGGTCTGGACCCAAGAAGTTAAGGTGGTGGCCATGCGTCGCAGTCATTTCTCCTTTGTTCCTCATTTTGCATTGAGCAGGCTTGTGTTGAAATGGGGAAAACATCCAGAATGAAAGGATGATGAGCGTTGTCAGAAGCTGCTGGTTTGTCCTCTGAATCCCTTGGCTCTGCCAGTGGCCTCCTGTTGTTGGTTGCAACGTCTGTGGGGGGGAAAAGGGCACAGTGACCCCCAGCTCTCTCCTCCCTTCTCCTCCCTTCCCCAGCTTCTGCCTTTTTTTTTCTTTTTTTTTTTTTTTTTCCTATGCCCAGGATCGGTTTTATTATTTACAAGCCCCAAAGCTGGCCTAGAGCCACCCACAGCTGCTCTCTGCCATTCCCACCTTTGCTGTTTCCAGGTGCCTCTTGTCTCGGTGTCCCAGTTTCTGTCTGGGCCTAACTACTTGCCCAGTCTGTACTCGTGTCTGTCTGCTTGCCCGTCTGTCATTCAGGACTTCCACAACGTCTGCAGCCACCTGTTAGCCTCCTAGGAATGACTTTTTTCCTTATGCAGCTCCTTTCCAAAAGGCACAAGGCTTCACGGTACGAGCTTTGTGCGTTTAACCCTAGGGGCGCATCCTGCAGCGGCAGAAGATGCTCACCTCCGTGGGGTGCTGGTGCCAGAGAGCTGGCCAAGCAGCTGCTGCGTTTGCCCTTGTGTGCTGGCACACGTTCAGCTGACAGCAAAATCTGGGCACTGCATTATCCAACAGGTTCATGTCACGGACACATCTTCAGCTCTGAGCTGAAGACGGGGCAAGGTTTTGCAGGGGACAGAGTTCCATCGTGATAAGGAAAAATGCTGAGTCTTTGAAACAAGTTACGGGGGAAGAAATAAAACCAAACCAAAACGAAAAATACCTTTAAATAATCTTCCTATTTGGTGCATCCCACAAGAGAGGCTTAAGGCAGTGATCTAAACTCAGACTGCATTGAATGTCTGGCTTTGCGCTGCTGTAGCAACAGACCGTGGTTGAAATATCATTAAGTAGGAAACTTACAGCTGGAGAGAGGGAAGTGACAGCTCACATGGGTCAAGTCTGATCCACGCCAGAATTTCAGAGAAAAAAAGATGAGGCTCTGGAAGAGAAAAAAAAAAAAAAAATAGGAAGAAGTTGTGCATGGTGCAGTTTCCCGTGGGTTAAGAACAGATTTTTCTAATCTGCTGTGGCTGCAGCTATCACTGTGTGAGCCTCTCTTTGTTTACATTTAGTCAAAAAAACAAAACCAAAAAATACTCTCCATACAATTAAATTTACTGTGAGCAATTCGCTGCTCTTAAATCCATCAAAACCAGCCCCCCCAGATATCAGGGTTAAGGACACACAAAACCAACAGGGTCACCCCCGGGGGAGGCCATTTTTTTTTTCCAAAAAAGGGGCAAAACCACCTTCCTGTGAGGTAAGGCCAGACCCTGCTCCTGACCCAAGAGATCTGGTGCATCTTCTGGGCAAGGGCAACCCCGAGCACCTGGCACGAGGAGCTTTGAACCCAGGAAACTCCTGCAGATGTGACCCTACAGGGCAGGCACCAGCCCATGCCCGGCACTGGGACAATCCCCGAGCAGCCCCTGCTCTCTCCGTGCTCAAGATGAGCGCTCCCGTCTGTGTCCCCCCTGTGTCCTCGCGAGGTGTGAGCCTCGCCGGCGTTGTCGACGTCGTGGTCTCTCGTTCCTCTGCCCCCGTGAGGTCGCTACCGTGAAGTCCGCTGTGGCTCCGTCTCCTTTCCCTGTGCATGTGTTCGTTTTGCTTTCGTCTGGATGTGGGGGTGTTTCCCCCTCGTTTAATTGTCTGAGGTGTGCTAGTGTTGACTTGTTTGTCGTTCTCTTGCCTCTGATCCAGTCTACAAAAAAAAACAAACTAAAACCAGACCGAAACACCACCAACAACCCAAAACCCAGCAACAACCCTGAAAGAAAAGGGTTCAGCTAGGGAGAAAAGCGACTTTGGCATCGGGGAGCTGGCACAACAAGGTCAGGACGCGCGCACCACGTCCCAGCACTCGGCCGCCAGATGCTCTGAGGGAGGCTGCTGCAGCCCTGGGCGGCGGGGGGAATTCTGCGCCGCCTCAGGAGGGGATATTTTTAGAGCAGAGGCAGCTCTTGAGGCTGTACGTGACGATCCTCCAGAGCTGGGGTTGGCGCTGGAAATGTTCTCCTGCGGTTTTGGTGCTGTGAGGCTGGGCCTAGCCACTGGCAGGCAGACTGGGTGCGATGAGGCCGGGCTCTGCTGCGAAGGGAGGTGTGGATAGCAGGCAGCAGAGGTTCAGGTTGCCACAAGAGAGGGAAGGGGAGAGCCCAGAGCCATCACCGGTGGGATTTCAGGGATTTCAGCTGCAGATTTGAGGCCCAGAGCCTGCAGCTGTGGCACAAGGCGAGGGGCCCTTCCGTCTGAGGAATGCTTTGGGAAGGAGACTCCTGTGGTACCAGCCGGCTAAATGCTGTGCCCTCTTCCCTCACTGCTAGCCCTCAAACCAGCCGTGGATGGGGCAGGACACATCTCCTGGCCCATCCTGGCTCAGGTGTCTGGCAGCTCTGAGCTGTAGAAGGGCAGAAGGGAGCCCAGGATCACGTCCCAGGCCTCACAGGGCAATGGGGTGGTTTTAGTCACGCTCACTGCTGGGCTCTACGTCATTTTCCAGCCAAACTCAGCTGGGAGGAGAGAATGCCCAATAAAAAAGGCTACTAAAAAGAGCCACTAAGATGATGAGAGTCTTCATCCTGGAGAAGAGACGGCTGAGGGGTGTTTTTCACACACGGAAATACCTGGAAGGGGGCGAGAAGGGGACAAAGCCAGGCTCTCTCCAGCACCATTTCCCAGGGAGAAGGGAGGACCATGCTCGGCCTTCACTGCCCCGAACAGAGGCTGGAGGCTTCCAGGTGCTGAGCGACCCCGGGGGGACCCCAATCTCACCTCAAATTTCACTTCCAGCCAGCTTCCCCGCAGCAGTTTCACACCCAGCAGGGCACTGATGATTTGGGGGGGGGCTGAGCACAAGGGAACTGCGGGGTTCTTCTGTGTCAGGAGGGCTTTGAAGGTAGAAGCAGGCAACAGAAGCTCCCAGAGCATCTCTAGAGGTAAAAGGCAGAAGTACTTCTAGTATTAGTGCATGTGGTAGAAGCAGGAAGACATTTGGGCAAGAAGTGTTTACCCTGAGTATGTGGGTGGTGTGTCTGCCAGTGACAGGGGATGGGACGTGGAGTAGGGGATGGGCACGGTGGAAACGCTCACTGTGGTGCCAGGGGGGCATAAAGAAGCCAACGAACGTGAAAAAAAATATAGAATAAAAAGCCAGGCCTGTGACCTCTATGCACGTGGGTTGCTGGAGCCAGGGGGAAGGGAGCAGAGGAGTGGGAAAAGGTGGGCAGGGGAAGGAGCTGCTGCTTTCATCCCTGGGGCTTCCATGGGGAGGTGATGCTGGCACCACGAGGTTGCGCCCTGGGCACCCTCAGCTCGCACAGACCAGGGCAGGGCAGCTTAGGAAGATTTTTTCAGCAGTGCTGTGCAGCGAGAAGACACGAGCAGAACCCCGAGTGCTGTTTTCCCTGATTGTTGATCCTTCTTTCCTTTTTTTCAAACCCGTTTTGCATGCGTCAGACAGGGAGAGGTACAACGCGAGTTGATGACAACAGAGAGGTTGCACTCTGCTCTGAGTCCAATCCTGGAATAATCTCTACTGTGGTTGAAAAGCAATAATGGCTAATTTTTTATTAAACACACCTGCACGGGCAGATGTCACCCATGGTTTGTGCTCTCCAGCGGTGGCAGCGCTGTGCCCGAGCTAAGGGAGGTCCCGGAGCAGCTGGAGGTGCCGAGAGCTTGGGGTGGGGGAGGCAGCAGAAAAAGCACACTGTGATTTTATTTGGGTCAACGAGTGAGCGTAAATCAGCCATTCCTTCCCTTCCAGTAATATGTTTGTACAGTAGGTGACCAGTTCCGCTCCGGAAACTAAGCCCGTCCTTTGCTGTT